GGTGACATTGAATTAATTAGAAACCTTAGGTCAACCAAGTCAGGAAAAGGCTCAGAGGAAACCCTATTTTGGTTGAGGAAAGTGATTCTTTCTTTCCGTCTCCCAGTAAGGGGCCTGTCCCAACACACTGGGACTTGATCAGACTGCTGAGACTTGGGAAACTTGTCTGATGCTCCCTAAGCAGAAGTGAGGAGCTCCTGGGGGTGTCTGCAAAGACCCGCTTATTCAGGCTGTGAGAAGACCTGAGGGCACCTGCGTCTGCTAGCTCTGCCGAGGCTATCTGAGAAAATGGTAATTGTATTGTACTACGTGTCTTTCAATATATCTAGTTACTTTACTTTTGGAGGAAAGCTAGGAGAGAAACAGTGAACACAACGCTCCCCTTCATTTAATTACAGGAACAGTCAGGACCAATTTGGCAGCTATTAAAATACTAGTTTGCCTTTATGCCATCTCTTTGCAGCAGGAGCTGAAAGTCCAAATTGGCTGCTAAAGGCTGGATATGGGGACAGAAGGTCAACACTGCTATTAGAAACCACGTGGAGTTAAAAAGTGAGGCACCATGTGGCCTATTTTGTGCCCCACTGCTTGCTTTTGCCCCTCCCCATGTCTTTGTCTTATAAGCTCTTTGCTTCTGTCACAATGTCTTTTACAAGAACTGGCCCAGAAGCATCAGAATAGGAAGGGACTTGGGAGACGTTCTTGTTCATCACCCTGGTTTGTCAAAGGGAGGAAGCGAAGCCCAAAGAAACAGAGAGGCTGTCTCAAAGCCAGTCAGCATGTTGGAGGAAAGCAGGAGCAGAGCACAGGGAGGCTTCACCATGCAGGGATACCGGGCTCTGGAGACACGGCCACCTGGCGCTGAGTCCTGGCCCTGCCCGAGATGTGTGAGCTGAAGCAACTTCCTTCAACTCTCTGAATCTCGGTTTCCTGATCTGTGAAATGAGGCTAAAAACTGGGAAGGGTCGCCATCTGGAGCCACAAAATGAAAACTAACACAAAGGACAATTGGACTAATGAAAGTTGTTAATGAGTAAAAGGGGTCAAAAGGTACAAACTTCTAGTTATAAAATAAATGTCATTGAGCTGTTATGGACAGCATGGTGACTATAATCAATAATAATGTATTGCGTATTTGGGAGTTGCTAAGAGGGTAGATCTTAAAAGTTTTCATTGCAAGAAAAAATAAAATCTGTGCCCTGGCTGGATGGCTCAGTTAGTTGGAGCGTCGTCCCATATACCAAAAGGCTGCAGGCTTGGTCCCTGGTTGGGGCGTGCACAGGAGGCAACAGATCCATCTCCCCCCCCGCCCGCCCCGCTCCTCTCTCTAAAATCAGCAATCATATCCTCAGGTGAAGATTTAAAAAAAATGTAACTATTAACTAGATATTTTGCAATATATACACATATCCAATTATTATGCAGCACACTAATGTAATGTTATATCTTAAAAAAGAAAAAAGATTCCTGCCAGTGAACTGCTTGGTTATTTGAAGGGATGTATTTATTTTACTTTAACTCTATCTGGAAATAAAAGGTAATTAAACAACTAAAAAAATAAAAGCACTAACAGAGTCAGGGTTTGATATCATTTGCACTGCTTGATTAACCATATCTGAAGTCAGGCACTGATATTTTAGTTGAACTAGCCAATAACTTCCTTACTCCTTAAGCTACTTTGAGCTGAGTGTCATTTCTCACCAAAAATATCCTTCCTAACACATCACCAGTATAGGAACCGGAGCTCAGCTCTGCACATGTGGATACATAACAGAAGACAGGCAGTGGCTAAGCTTGTTCACACAGCAGGTGAGAGACCTCAGCTAACAAGGAGGAGAGACTGGCTGATGATGACATGTTGGTTCATGTTAGTATTAAATAAATGCTAAATTACTGGCCTTAATTCACCAAGTGAGAGAATCACAGCTGAGGACTCAGGGACTAGTGTTAGAGCTTGTGAACTATTCTGTCTTTGAATTTTAGGGTTTTAGAAGGAGATATAAGCAACATCTCCTTAGCTGGAGCCTTTATCCTGTTCCATGCTATTTGGACACTACCTGTCAACTACTGATGCACATCAATTAGACAGGATATACACACACAGAGGCATAATTCTGGCCCATACACCATCTATTTCTTTCTTCCACTAGCAATATTTTAGTCCTGTACTTAACCATGGCAATACCATCATTACTATCATCACCACCACCATCATCATAGGGCATTTACTACACATCAAACGTTTTTATGCAGCATCTCATTTAATCTTCCCAACAATCCCATGATGGTAGGTCTATCAATAATTCCATTGTACAGGTAAGGGGAAAGGCTCAAAGAGGTAAAGTCACCAGTCCAATGCAATACAACTAGAACATGGTAGAGCAGAACTCTAACCCAAGAGGTGTAACCTTAAAGACCATGATTTTAATCTCTGTCCTATACACAGTTCCTAGCATAGTGCCTGGAAATAGTAGTCAGAGAATAAATACTGACTAGGCTGGAACAAAAATAGTAGGGTGGATGTAATTCAGTCATGTCTATCAACTTACAATGGGCTCCATTCTTATGATGCAACTTTATTTGTATAAAACATGTATGACAAGGTCACCTATGGGGGGAAAAGGTCTTCATTCTCTACCTAAAGGTGTGGACATAAAAATGTGGGCCAGTTTTGATTATTAACCACCTCCATGGAAGCTCCATCTCATTTCCATGGGCTTTGGGGCCAGAGACATGAATTCAAATTCTAGCACTTTCCTGCTGTGTGACCCTGGAAAAATCATTTAGGTTCCCAAAGACCCCTTTTTTTTCCTTGACAAATGGAGATACTAAATCTTATTTTTGCACTGAGAATGAACTTGGCTATAAGAATGAAATTGGATCCTGCATGAAAAGGTCCACCAAAGCAATTGGCACTTAGCAGGAACACAACACACAGTGGCTATAATTCTTTTCCCACCCAGGTCTCGCCAACCCTTAGTGGCCAAACATGCTACACTAATCTGTGCTGATTTACAGAGCATCTTCAAACCTGGGGCCCTTTTTACTTTATTTTTTAAAGTAAAGACTTATTTTTAAAAAGATTTTATTTATTTATTTATTTGTAGAGAGAGGGGAAGGGAGGGAGAAAGAGAGGGAGAGAAACATCAGTTGGCTGCTTAACACCCCCAACTGGGGACCTGGCCCACAACCCAGGCATAAGCCCTGACCAGGAATTGAACTGGTGATCTTTTGGTTCACAGGCTGGTGCTCAATCCACTGAGCCACACCAGCCAGCGTGAAACCTGGGGGCTCTTTTTAAATGCAAAGGATGAAGGTTGTCAATAGGACAGGAACATCCATAGACAGCTGGATGAAATCAAAGTTAAAATGAAGGAAAATGATACAACATAGGGAGTTTCTACTCAAAGGTCAGGAAATGGAGATCACTGCTTCTTTTGTCCCTCCCCGCTGGGGATAACTGGGTAAACTAGGCCACAGAGCCAGGCAAAACCACACCTCCATGAGCAGTGGCAGAGTACACCTAAAGCAGAGATCGCAAACTGAAATTCCAACAGGGCCAGGTATGGAAGGGGGATGGGTGAGAATTTCAGAGACCTGAAAACACGGGCATTTTCTCTGATCCAGTTGAAATTGCCATGACAAAATTCAGGCACAGAGTTAGTAGAACTTCTTATCTTTAAAAACACTTTTTTTATTCCTCACTCAAGGATTTTTAAAATTGATTTTGGAGAGAGAGAGGGGTGCGTGGGGTTGGGGGGAGTGCGTTGATGTGAGCGAGAAACATCGATTGGTTGCCTCCCATATTGCATGCTTCCTGTATGTGCCAAACTGAGGACAGAACCCACAACCTAGGTATATGCCCTGACCGAGGATCAAACCTGCAACCTTTCGGTGTATAGGATGATTCTCCAACCAACTGAGCCACCGGGCAAGAGCCAGATCTTCTTATCTTTTAAGGTAATCTGGAAAGCTGGCTTTTCATGAGACTGAGAATCCAGCTCATCTCTGGCCATGGAGGTTTGCTATTTTTAAATAGGGCTATTAATTTTCAAATAAAGCACCTGAATTAAACACAACAAAACAAAACCAACATGAGGGTCAAACCAAAACAGGTTAACAAATTAAAATTACTTTATGAGCTGCCAAGTTGTGCCCTGAGGTCAACTGTAGAAAAAGGGCCTAAGATGTTAGAGTGATCCTGGGCTAAATTTTAATAATATTTTACATCTGGATGTAAAATATATTAAAATTGGATGGTGGAGCTGATCATATGAACCCTCCTACAGGGGGCGCTCAAGACTGCATCCCTCCCTGCTGATCTCTGGCCATGGAAATATGGACTCAACTCAAAGCTGAGTGGTACTGATGCTATTTGGCACTGCTCATTTTAATGAGGGAGGCACAACGGGTAAAATTGGGTTTTGGGTGCCTCAAGTCCCCGTCAACATCTTGAGTATCAAAGTAAGTCAATGCGAGGGCACTAGGCTGGAGTCAGGATACTTGAGTTCAACTCCCATGCTGGGCATGAACTCTTCCACTAGAAAGTAAATTCCATGAAAACAAGTATTCTATCTTGTTTACTGGCACACACTTGGCATTTGGCAAGTAACTGTTGAATGACTGGCTAACCAAATGGTTGCTCGGGGGACATCACAAACTATGGGCCTCCATCTTCACATCAATAAAACAGGAACTAACAATGGATGCCCTATTTTTGTTGAAGGGTTGCCACAGTGAGAGGACAGAGTCATAGAAGTGCTTGGGCTACAGGTGTAAAGGGCAACAACATTTAGTGTGAAACGTTTACTATCCTCTGTCGTTGGCTGACAGGAAGGGCCCCTTCAGATCCTACATGGCAGGGGCGAGGCCCGCAGTGCCTGCCTTTCTCCCATCCTCAACTTTTTTCTGGCTGCACCAGACCAGCCTGGAAGGAAACCCCAAAATGATCACTCAGATTTTCATTTCCATTTTGCACAGAGAGTGGGAGGATGTACTACCTTGCATTGTCCCGGCCGTGTGACTTCAAGAAATTCATATCTCGGTATCGGGAGAGAAATGCCACCAGCTGGTCATTTGTCCTGTGGAAACAAAGGAAAGTTAGAATCCTCCAGAGGCAATGGGGAATAGAGCCTTGGCTCCATTCTTTGTCATAGGAAACAGGATCCTTCCTCCTTTCACACCCATCGGTGGGCTGATCAGGCTGTATTCTTTCATGAGTCACCCTCAACCACACTACATTAAAACACACTATTTGTGTTTGTCTCCTATATGCTCCATATACTGTGAACTCCTTGAGGATGAGGATAGTATCTTATTCATTTTGGAATCTTCAGTGCCCAGCCCTGGGCTTGGCAAATAGTGAGTCATCAGTGTGTAGTTCAATGCCAAAAACATAGTAACTTTAGGGCCTTTGCACTTGCTATGCATGGAAAACCCTGTCCTGTATCTTCCCATCACTAATGTGCTGTTGTTATCCAGGTTCCCTTTTAAATGTCATCTCTTAGGAAAGGAATTTTATGGTCATTCAACCTAGAGTAGCACCTGCATCCCCCTCTCTGCCTTTATCATATCACTCTATTTATTTCCCTATCTTTTTTTTAAAAGATTTCATTTATTTATTTTTAGAGAGAGGAGAAAGGAGGGAGAAAGAGAGGGAGAAAAACATAATTGTGTGGTTGTCTCTTACGCACCTCTGCTGGGGACCTGGGCTGCAACCTAGGCATGTGCCCTGACTGGGAATTGAACCAGTAACACTTTGGTTTGCAGGTTGGCACTCAATCCACTGAGCCACACCAGCCAGGGCTATTTCACTATCTATCACTATGTGAAGGTGTTGAACTTCCTTAGATTAGGATGTAAATGCCATGAAGACAGAACTTTGCTCATCACTGGCACATAGTAGGAGCTACGTTAATGTTTATTGGATGAAGAAATGACTCAAAGTTGACATGAATTTGAACTGACTCTTTCAAAGTGCATTTTGAGAAATGAATGAATGAATACGAAGTTCTAGACAACCACTGGGCAACTGATTGAGAGATCTTTAACAAAGATAAAGTGCAATGCAAACGAATGACATCGTTCCCAGCATTGTTATCCCAAATTTATCACCATCAATCTCAGCACTAGCAGTGTAGTCACAGCTAATCAGCTTGTGCATACAGCTGTGACAGTATTTTAAAAGGCAGTCACACGGGTCTCCATCTGCTAGAAATGCAGTCGCCTCTTCTGCAGAATAAACCCAAACAGGTAAACGGTGCTGAAGTGACAGCTCCTTTATCATTAGGCTTCTTTGCTCAGGGATTTTTATTTAGGAGGAAAGGGTTAACTATTGTTTCAAACTGGGAGAAATGTGTAGGCAGTGGAAAGGAAGGACACTTCTGGGAACAGAATGGAGGCTAGACCTCTGAGAGGCAGGTGGGTACCTTAGAAGGTGATGCCTAGACACAAGAAGCAGAAGAACCTGGAGACAGATCCCAGATCCTCTCCGGACCAGGCCCTGTGTCCAAGGGTAAGTCATTTATCTTCTCTGAACTCACCAGGTTGTCCAGCACACAGTAGGCTCTCCATTGATATATTCTGAATGGACAACTGGGTGGGTTTAAAGATCATATAGTAGGCGTGCAGCAAGTACAAGCTGCTCTACTCTTTCTGCCTCCCACCATCTGGTCTGAGCTGCTCCCACCCCCTACTGCTTCTTCATTTCCCTGCAAGTCTCTGCAGTCGCGCCACTCCAAGTCCCTGTTCTGTGATTGGATGACTCATGTTGACCAACTCATAATTCCAGCGGAGGGGGCACAAAGCAGTAAAGAGATGCTGCAGTGAAAATGAGCACTGCTGATGTCCCATCCTATTAACAGAAATAAACATCAATTCAAAGCCAGCCGTTCTAGCAGGCAGTAGACTCCAGAAAAACCCCGTGTGTGCGGAACGAGCTAAATCCAGCACACACGCAGAAAGCTAAGCTCTGCCGGTGCGCACAGAGGTGAACTCTGGGGATGCAGTCAAAGGCTCACCCCACGTGTCTGCACAATGATGGTGCATCTCCTGTGTGGACAAACCCCTACCACTCACTGTAAGGTAAAGCCCACGCATGCCCCACACCAACTTATGCTAGCTTGTGGGCAAAGGGCTTCTTGAAGTTGCTGCAAGAGGTGTTAACTAACTCAGCCCATAAAAAATTAAAGCAAGCTCTCTCCAAACCGTCTACATGTCCCAGCAGTTCCTGTTCACCGACCCCCTCACTACTCTCTGCAACAGTTCATTATTGTCGTTCTGATGAATACAGGGACAAGTTAACCTCTGAATGGGTCCCTGGCAGCAGGAATAATAAAGAGGGGCCTCTCAGTAGCCTCAGTGGGAGGGTTGAAGGGGCCGGGCTGGGGCTCTCAAGGGGCCGACTCTTTCGAAGCCTTAGGCCTCCCAGGGTCAGTGGCTGCTACTCCATTTGGCAACCCTAGAAAGCCCTTTCAGGGCCTTGCGCTGGGGCCATTTTCACATTTACCGCTTCACCAAGTCCCCATCGGACAGGGATGAATAGGCATTTAGCGAATTTACTTAGCGATGCTTCCACATGAAATCCTCTCAAAAGATGACATCTTGGGGGAGGAAGGCTGGATGGGAGGGGGCCGTGGATTCCAGGCTTAGAGCTTGTGGGTAAAGCTGCTTTTCAAAGCAGAGAGCTGTGCCCCCTGCCTGTCCCCCCTCCCTGGGGCCCTGGTCCCCTCGCTCTCCCTCTGCATAAATAAGCCTGCTCTGAATACTAAAGCCTGTCTCCTCAGCCTTTCTCCAAAAGAAGATGGAATTCGGCTGGGGACCAAGTTTTCCTATTGTTGCTTTCAGACGCCTGTCGATAATTGCCTACATAATATTTAGTTCTCTCCAGATAATTAACAGCTTGCGATCTGTTGACATTTTACCCAGTTCCAGTGTCTCTCTCCCTTCCCCTCACACACATTTCTCACTCACTCTTTTGGGGGGAGTCAGTTGCCAAGTGGCTCCCACAGCTTATCAATTGTGTCTGCTTCCTTGCCAGCCCCTTTGCACCTTTTGCAGAAATTATTAGAAGATACATCTCTTCATCTATGCCAGTTCCTCTGATTCATGATGGTGACTCTGGTTCAGCATGGTACTGTTTGGAGCCACCATAACATCTTTGTTTTAATAAACATGTTTTTAGTAAATATTAAAATAAACGTATTCAAACCACATGGGAATATCCGTTGAAACACATAAATAAACGAATAAGGAAAGAAGCTCCATGACCATGTATGGAACGTCCACCATGGCCTAGGCCCTGGGACTGACTTTTTCTACAGTTTTTTTTTTTTGTATTTAGTTTTCACAAAGATGCTATAAAATGTGAGTTTCATTTCCATTTTATAGATGGACAGCTGAGACTCAAAGAAGTCACCCATTTAGTAAAATGGAGAATTGGGATTGGAACTACCAGACCACTTCTACAAGCGAATGTGTGAATAAATGAGTGAGTAAGTGAATCAATGAATGATTGAATGAGTTTTATTCCAGGTGCAGAAAATAATATACAGGCGCCCTGATGCCTCCTAATTCAGAGTCTAGCCTTTGCACGAAGAACAGCAGCCCTCTGCTATTAGACACTGTATCTTTAGGTTCTACCCAAGACCCACTGAGTTAAAATCTGCTTTTAAACAAGATTCCCAGGTGAGGCATCTGCCCTTTAAAGCTTAAGAAGCGCTGTTTTAAGTCAAGCATGATATCACTAGTTAATTCTCTTCCTCTTTCTTTATTCATCATCTCCCCATGGTCTCTTCCTGAAAGCCCAGACTTTGAGCATGTTACTTTCAGCTCTGTAAACCTCACATGTTGGGAGTATTAAATAACACATGTAACACCTGTGCAGAAGCACCTGTCTTATTGTAATCCTTTGATAATGTGGCCTGTTACTTAATAATATGTCTTACTGCCATTTTGAACACCAGAGGCTTAAGACATTTTGAACTGGAATAGCAGTGTAAGGACCCAGCCTAACCTGAACTTGGAAGGCTTTCTGTCCATCACATGCATGGGATGCTCTGCAGAGCATGGTTTGGAAACGCCCCTAGAAGGGACTTGTCCAGTCTCCCAGCTGGTGTCAGGGTTAGGAACTATCTTCCAGAGGGCCATTGTACCATCAGGTTGTCTGATATGCATACTGACTCTGGGCTGAAGACACACAGGAAGGGGCATGATTCAGCTCTCTCGTCCTCCGCCCCCAACACTCCCTCCTGCCCCCGTGCCTAGGAGCCCAGTCACAGCTACGCCCGTCAGCAGGCAGTGTGTGACTAGGCTGAGGATGGGGCCTGTTTGGCCTCCACCAGGAAAAAGCCCCGCTCAGAGCCAATCCTCTTTCCTGGGTCCCTCCTGCCCACCACGCTTGGGTCCCAGATCTCCTTCTCTGATAGAGGATGCTCATGACTGATGATGAGGCTGACAGTGCTCAGGCAAAAGTTAAGCACAGAGTTTTGCGAATGTCAGGACTCAGGATTTCAAACCCTAATGCTGCCAGTATGCAGAGACCTCCTGGAGGCAGTGGGTGGGCCATCTGTGGAGAAGAAATGTGCACAAGTGGCGGTGAGAGAGGCGTTGGGATCGGGCAAGGTGAGGGTGGTGCGGGCCAAGGAGGCACCTTCAGTCTGAGCTCAGAGCATACCATGTCAGTATTTCCCCAATTCCTACTACTAGTGTTTCATCTGTACAGTTATTTCATATTTATGTTCAATTTAATTTTTAAAGATCCTTACCCGAGGACATTTTTTCATTGCTTTTGGAGACAAAGGAAGGGAGGAAAGAAGGGAAAGAACATCGATGTGAGAGAGAAACACTGATTGGTTGCCTCTGGTACATTCCTGGACTGAGGATTGAACCCGCAACCTAGTTATATGCCCTGACCTGGAATCTAACCCACAACATTTTGGTTACGAGACAACATTCCAAAAAACTGAGCCACATGGGCCATGGCTGTCTGTTCAATTTAAATACCACGTTAGCTTCACTCTAAGCAACAATATTTGTGATAGTTGATGTACATTTTTTCTCTCAAATTTTAAATTATGGTAAA